TATATATATATATATATATATATATATATATATATATATATATATAATGCTACCATAAACTAGAATTCCCTTTGAATTTATGAATTTTCAAATCTAGTCTTCCCCTATCATGAAAAGTTGCGACTTTAATAAAGAGTTGTGATTTTTATAAAAACATTGAGACTTTAATGAAAAAATATGACTTTTATGAAAGGTTGTGATTATTTTGAAGGGTTACAACTTTTCCAAATACTTGTAACCTTTCCCATAAGGCACAATAAACATTTGTACACATTACCCTTTGTTTTATATATATAGAGGGATTTCCTCCCATTTTAAAACAACGAAAATTTTGAACCTCATCTTCTTCTTCTTCAACTTCTTCAAATAGTTGTAACATTTTCAACGTCTATAAATAAAGGGATTTCCTCTCATTTTAAAACAAAGAAAATTTTAAACATCTTCTTATTCTTCTTCACAATTAAATATTTATGTACTTTGCTCCTGGCTGAGTGACTCACTGACACCAGTGCTTATATTACAGATCTTGCTATGTACTTTTATATCATTAATTTATACTTATATTATTAAGGATAAATGATAAGATTTAATGATTTTCATTTTTTTTTACATTATTAATGTTTGTTACTAGTAATCTTGTATGTAAGATAATATAGTGTTTTAATTTTAATGACAGATAGATTTAAGTATTATTTTTATAAATTCTGTGATATTAAATTTCCGCGCAAAACACAAATAATTTTACTAATACTCAATAAAAGTGATCCAAAGTTGATTAAAAAGGAAAAAGGAAAAAGCAAACTAGCGTTGCTTTTGAAAAATAACTTTTAGTTCTTTTTTTCTAAGTGCTCTCTTCTCTATTCAGTATATGGGAATCCGACTATTCGAGATTCACGTTGCATAGGGTTTGATCATTACAAGAAAAAATTTATATTCAAAACTTGAACCCTTTAGGTCACTATCTCTCCACTCTTCTTTCAAATAACTTTTTTCTTCTGAAACAATTCAAACACAAAAATTATTTTAAGAAAAGAAGATATTTAAAATATTCCTTCGACCACTATGAAAATGACAAGTTGGGTAAACAAATTGGTCGACTGTCTAGCTAGGCTTATTGACAATTGATATTTAAATAAAATTGAAATTTGAAAATTCTCACTTTGAATTAATGAAACTTCGTGTATATATTGTTGGTTCTTTCAAGGATAATTTCTCTGGGAATTAGATTTTCTTCTGCACTAAGCTATATACAAATTTCAATATTGACTTTAAAAACTTAAAAGATTATGTGTTTTTTTTTCTCTTTTCGAAATATTTATAATTAAAGAATTCTTTAATAAAAAATAATTCCTGCATCATCGAAGGAGAAGAACCAAAACAGAATGATTCCGCCTACTCAAAACTTAAATTCAATTCATAATTTTTTTATTTCTGTAACTAGGACTAAACTTACAATATTATTTGCCTATTTAATTATTAGGGGGAAAAATGAAAATTTTGTATATTGTATGGAAGAGATTATTATTATTATTATTTTATTTGAGACAAAAGATTTATAAAAGAAAAAGAAATGTTAGTTTTCTTAATATTAGCATTGACCAAGTCATTTTGATTTGCTTATTTGTCTTAATCCATATGGAGTATTAATTAATGTCTTAATGAGATAGGGAATACTTTTGAGTTATTGTTGAATAGCATATATATATTATTTGCCACATTTAAAACAAAGATTACCCCATGAGGTGGTAAATTATTATTAACAAATTATATCAATGTTATATATTTCTTTTCTTTTCTCCAGTTGAAATAAAATAAGCACTTGCGAACAAGAAGGGAAATATTTTCAAATTTTGAATTTATAATGTTTGATAGGAACTTAAAATATTCTATTGAAATAAACAGTAATTCGAATGTTCAAATGAAATAAGTCGGCAAATTTAAGAACTTATACCTTATTAAAGTATAGGTAACAAAGATTAAAAGAACTTAAAGTATTTACTCGTCTAGAATAGTTCGATCGCGTATTCATCTCTTAGTCAATATTCATGAGTTTATGAGATTTTTCAGATGTTTATTATCAATATATATTAAAATAATATTTTTTTAATAAATAATTTTTTTCGTATTTGACTAGACTAGTCAGATAATAATAAGTAATTTCAACTTTGATTTTAAGAATGTGAATTCATGTTGTCAAGAAGGTGAAAAGGCTAAGAGCTTTAAGGAAGGGGAGGGTTAAAAAGAAATTATATTAAATATATTTGTCTTAAACGAATTCATAACTTCTTTCTTTAGAAAATACTTTTATGTTTGGTGGACTAAAAAAATTTAAAAATTAGAATATGTTCTCTAAGAAAGAAAAGATTCTTATAAATGAGGAAATTGATTCCGTTGAGGAAATATATATGGAGGAAATTGGAACTTTTTGAACTAATTATTGCTACTAAATATGTCTTGATTAAATTTGTTTCATACATGATAACAGCAGCAACATGGAACGAAAGAGTGCAAGGGAAATTTTATCCAAAAATATGCAATGACACAACAACTTAATTAGAGGCGAACGTAGAATTTAAAATTTTTGAATATGTCATATTACATAAATTTATAATAAATGGAACTCATGGGTGGTTCCTATAACTTGTACTAGAGATTTAATAACACATCAATACTTTTCATGATCCATAGTTGATTATATTCTAAATTATTTCATTTTTTAAGATAAATATATACATAATCTCTATTAAAGTTAACGGATGCACATATACCCTTAACTTATAGGATAGGTCCTCTCTGAGCTTGGCCATGGCAACCGCGGCCAACTATGCGGGTGCCATGGTTAAGGTGCCAACTTTACAGTTAGGTGAGTAAGTTTTCATCTATATATGTATCAAAACTTTTGTTGACAGAACTATACAACAATAGTTGCATCTTATCTCATTCCCTACCCCATCAACCAACAATGTTGCCTAGGATCGAGTCCGGAAATAAAAGGAAAATAATTTTTTAAAAAAATCTTAAAAATGCAATTCAATTAGTTATGAAACTAAAAGTGCAATAATTTGTAACAACGTATAAATTAGAATTTTAAAAATGAGGTACTGAAATCCATGAGCCTTATAACACGCAACAACTTATAGCCTTGTAAGACTCAATCGCAGTGAACTTTACAAGGTGCAAGCCTGTCAGTGCCTTATCGGCAATTATTTAAATTTATGTCAGCGCCTTTCCGGCAATTATTTAAATTTAA